TTTTTTTGGGTAATTTTGTGGGTAAATTTTTTAATTATTGTTTTTTATATTGTTTTTTTTTTTTTTTTTTTTTTTTTGTTTTTTTTTTTTTTTTGTTTTTTTTTTCGTTTTGTGTTTTTTAATTTAGAGTTTTCCGTGTTATATATCATGCTAAAAATAGTCAAGTAATACTTAAAACTTCAAACAAAAAACTCAAGATATTTTGCAAGTAGATTCACTCTACATTATAATCGCCAACGGCCAACTTAAGTACAAATAATTTGGTCACTACTTTGTCTTTTCAAAATTATCGCTAAAGAAATGTGGTAAAGTATGTGCCTCATTATAAATATAATGAAATCATTTATTCTTTTCTGTAACCATGCTACTAAGAAAGACGTTCAGTCAAAATATCTTATATACGTAAGCTGGAATAAGGAATGATCATAATTGAAGATGTATTATACTCACAATCCAACTACTCAACTTTCATGATGGTGGTATACGAAATAATGAATTTCAAGGAATTTGCGCTATTTTATTCATGATTTTTCGAATGCATATCCCTCACAAGACATTGTTGGTCTCTACTCTCTATACACATAGTTGTGGGTGTGAGTTCAAATTAATTAACCTCTCCCTCCAACACACTAATTGGGAGTTAATTTAGTCAATGATAGGTGAATTTTACTATAGGTTACTACTGACTCACTAGAATTTAAAAAGTTACTCTTTACTCATTTAACTTTGTTATATGTTATTACTTGTTCATTGAAATTTAAAAAATTATTCATTGCACATCGAAATTTGAACAAAATTATCCATCAACCATCCATATTATTTCCATTAGTGTTACCTATAGCAAAGTTCAGTGAACAACAAATAATTTTATTCAAATTTAGGTGAGCAACGTATAAATTTTTAAATTTCAATGAACAAGTAGTAATCTATAGCAAATGGTAACTTTTTAAATTTCGATGACCAAGTAGTAACTTGTAGCAAAGTTGAGTGACCATTAACTAAATTAACTCCTAATTGGATAGGATCAACTCGTATGGGCATGCACCCACATATATCCCGCATATGTAAATCTTTGTATTTTTCTTCTTGTTCTAAGTCTTTATTTCTTTATTTTCATAATATTTCATAAAGAATCTTCTGGTGAATCTAAAATTTCTTCAACAACGACTACAAACTTAACCATTATGAAGAAGTTATAAAAATGTAATTTCTAAGAAAGCGCATTTATTATTTCTGTCATTTTTTACCATTGATTTGTATTTTACATCATGAAAAATAAAAATTGACTTAGTGACGTCAAGATAATAAGCAACAGTCAAACTTGTATGAGCATAATTTAAGGGTCGTTTGACGAAATTTTTTATAAAAGTTCTAGCAAATTTTGATAAAAAATGATGAAATGAGTGGTCGAAAAGTTGATAAACGATGTGGGTCCTATTAAATTTATGATTAAAATTGAAGTTTGACGTATTAAAAAGTTGGATAAAATTGTGACAAACAAACACCAACTACTAATCCTTAGAGCTGGCAAACTAATGAAAACTTTCTTGTACCAACCAATATAAAGATTAGGCCTGCAAAGTAAAATAACTCAAATGTATTAATTTAACCAATTAGCCTAGGTTTCACGATCTCACAACGCGTAAAAACCGGCCAAACATGCACTTGTCTCTTTGCTATATTCTCACCTTCTCCATTACATAATCCATCCCAATTGTCTCCTTCAAATTTCCACTACCCCCCATAGCCCAACTCCCTGAATTTTCTTCTGGATTTCAGTGAAGAAAAATGGGAGACAGATCAACACTAGCAAAGGCAAAAAAAGAACTTGAAGAATTGTATTTAGGAGTCCCTGATGAATCTGTGAATCTAACTTTTCAAGATCTTGCTGAAGTTCGACAACTCCATTCAGAAAATAAAAAATCCACCCTCCCAATGGATCCCATTTCCGAATCCCGTAACACCCCGAAAACTAATGCTGTACCAGCAAATTCACCATCTCATTTAACCAAAATTCCTAGCCTGGATTTCAACAGAGCCCTCGAAGCTTCATCCAAGCAACAAAATCATCATCGTTCACCACACCATGTCGTTGTGCGAGATAATCACGTCCATGTGCCGAGCCACCATCGTCCGGACGAGGGCCTGGGACATGACTTATATTCTCATGGTGAAACTCCTCTTAGGCATGCAGGAGAGAGAAGTGTGTTTTACGATGATGTGAGTCAAGTGAGTGGCTATAGTGTGTCTTCTATGAACCCTTATCATGAAAGAGGAGGAAGAAGAAGAGCTGGGATTCCTCACTCCAATATCTGCACTGTTTGTTCAACTTATATCTATTTTTTCCGAAATCGTTGTCTGGTAATTATAGTGTATCTCTACTTTTTATTTTTTGAAATATACTGTGAAACTCGTTTAATATTCATTTGTCTGTTAATATAAATGATTTTAATCAAGTTGAAATTATTAGAAATGTGAATTAATGGATTAAAAACGTGTTTTTGTAGGTCTGTGGAAGAGTTTATTGCAGGCAATGTGTGAACATTGGCATGGGAGAGATGGCAGAAGGTAGAAAGTGCATAGAATGCTTAGGTAGAAGATTTAGCCAAAGGTATGAATTTTTTTTTTCCTTGTTTTTTTTTTATGGATACATTTTCTTTTTTAAATGAATAGCAAGTGAGACCTAAACCTAGACTGTTTATTCTCTGGTATCCCGTTCAACAGTCACATATATAGATAGTAATGATTATATTATTTTTCTGTATTTTATCTTCAACGTCGCAAAATTATTGATTTCATCGACAATTCGGGACAGTAGAACGCACCGATATAGTCATTTTCTTTCGACCAATCTATATTCAAAACGAGTAATCGAATTTCAAGATTGATTTTCTCAAATCAGTCATCATTTTGCAGGACACGTTAATGTTAATCTACATCGATTTAACATACAAGAGTTTGGATTCTTTCTCTTAAGAAATTGACATTTTAAAAAGAAAAGATAAATCTTAATTAATGCGAGTTTAATTTACAATAACTATACCTTTAAACTTATATTTTTAACAAAATTCTCCTAGAAAAATAGGTATAATGAATTTAATATGCAAATAGTTAAAGATGGAATTCTTGTCCCGGTTATTCCTAGAGTTATTTAGTTGTAAGATTGTAACATTTGTCTTACGTTTAAGGACCCAACATAGATTATTTTCATCGAAATCTCAGATTATTTTGGATTAACTGCTAATTTTTTCTGTATATGTCTCGAGGCAGTGGCCTGCATATAATTCAATGATAAGAAAGTTTTTATTATCCTTGTTGACTTGTGCCAACTCAGGACTATGAAAAAATATATAAAAAGTAATGTTATAAATTTAATAATTGTTTGTTAAACAACTTAATTTAAGTTATACATAATTTTCTTGAAAAATGATCATGTCTATATTTCAACAGTTAATGTTAGTGTTGTCATATTTGAGTTTAGGTACATACAAAGGGCAGGAAATGTGGGGTGCTGCATGGGATTTCCATCTAAGGTGAAACAACAAGAGCTCAAGTGGGCGGAGAAAGGGCCGAGAAGGAGCGGAGAAAATCGATATGGCGGTGGAGGCCGTAGTGGGATGGTGTCGACATCGAGAGGTCCGATGACCCCAAGAACGCCCACTAGAGCACATTCGCCTAGCACTCCCCCTTCATTTGTCATGGGCTCGCCTTATTCTCCCTATTCGGCTACCACCCACCATGCCTTGCCTTTCTAGCAATATTGGACAGTATATGAAATAAAAAGCAACTGAAATCTCGTTTGTCATATCATATTGTCTTAGATCTGTTTAATATTTCGTACCAAATATTTTTACATTATGTTTTCATATGTTGCGAAAAAAGGAAGAAAAATGTTGTTTTCCTTATGATTTCGAATTATAATTGATGTTTTATTTTTTAATAATGTATTTTGTAAGTCATTATAGTGATTTTTTATATTTACAAATTGGAGAAAGATTTCATTTGAAATACTGCAATACTCATTTTTTACATTCTCATAGACAATCAAGAAGGTATACACTATTGCTTTATCTCACGTAATAAAATAAAAAAAAAAAACCTCCAACAAGCCAACAACAGTCCAATTTTTCCTTTTTTTTTAAAATCCTGATTAAAATTTCTCCTGGACAAGGGCATTATGAAAAATGGAACAAGACTTGGCCCACATGCCACAAACGTCCGAGCATATGGACATTTTTATTTTATTTTAAACTTTACTACATCCATCAGTTTCTACTCTTTGAACATACTACAAAGAGGAAAAGAAAAATCACGATGTTAGAACTAGCTAGGCTTACGATTTTTCTTTTAAAAACGCTCGAATCATATACAATAAAAGAGGACTTACAATTATATATAAAGAATCATAGATACGTGCAAAGACCCAAAGAATTGCTCCAGTTCAATTTACCTTGGACTGCCCATTTTTTCTAGAGTTATACTACATGTACAAAGTTGGGTTACAAAGTTGGTTGATAAAATAACATCTACACCAATAATTTTAAAAACAGATTTTTAAATCATTTGAAATCTATGGTCTGGATTTTGCCAATACACTTTATAACCCAACTTTTGTAATTCAACTTCAAATTACAGCATTAATCCAAATCAATTATAACATAATTTAACAACAGATATACACGAGAAGAAAATTATCCTTCATCCAAATTATATATGTCCTATTCGCAACTAAAGTCCTCTCAAGTTGCAACTTTTGAAGCAAAAATCCTAACACACGCCTGATCTTAGTCAATATCGAAGCTAAATTACATAGTTTAAGTTGCTCTCATGTCATTAGCTGTGATTATGAAAATCATTCGTGCTTTCTTTTCCTCTTACTGCTAAGCTTCTGTTTGACAATCATTATTTGAGAACTCTGTTTTTTTACGTACCCATTTTCAATTACATATTCACACAATAAAATATTCTACACGTAAATTCAAAACGTTTCTCTACTTTTTAATCACACATTCTCGTAAAAATCATTATTCAAAACATTATTTTTCCAAATAATGATCATCAAACAATGGCTGAATTAATCACAGATAGATCATCTAGGGTGACAAGCAAGGACAATAGATTACTTCCTATTTTCTCTTATGCTTTGAATATAGAGTTCGTTTGATAGACAAATGTGGAAATGAATTCAAATTCCATGTCAGTTGGAAAATAAAAATCCACCAAGCCCATTTTCCAAAAAAATAAAAAAAATGCAACTTAAAGTGGTTGTATTTTGGAATTCGATTTCCATTTTCATGCTGCAATCAAACGGCCAAAGTGAAATTTGTTTTCCTCGAATATGACATTTTCCATAAAATTCGTTGCAATCAAACATGACAACAGTGTATTATAATGTTGTCTATTAGCTCGACCCACATCAGTCCATAGGAGGAGAAATGTGGCGCAAAAAAAAAGAAGTAATTTTTACTATTTTACTTGATACTTTTTCTTTTTAAATTCTTGCATATTGACCATATAGTCCAATTCCCAGGCAATAAACTATTTGGCTCATTTTACTTATAATTTTTTTGGAGGGTACTTGATTAAAAAGTGAGGAAGGAAAGATTACGAATTCAATAGAATGTGTGATTGACAATGATTTTGGAAAAAAATAATTTTAGAAATAATCTCTTTCAAACTACTTAAGTTTTAAAATAAATAATTTTGTCAACTAATGGAAAAAAAAAATGAATTACTATTTTTATTTTAAAGCTTTGGCGAATTGCAATTGAACCAATCCTATATGTCTTTCCAAACACTGCCAAGTCTGCCATGTTGTTTGGGCAAAACCCTTATTAGCCGCCACCCAGAAACTAGAAGACGTGAAAGAAGGGAATATCCAGGAATCAATCTCTCCACTCTCAACTCAATAGGAGTCTCGGGGACTGCCAAATTTTCTCTTAAAATTCCTCTTAACTGTTCGTCAAATTCGTCCACTCCATTTTCTCAGCGAAGAATGGCGGTCACTTTATCGTCGGACGACATTGTGATAAAGTAATCTTGATTAAAATTTCTCCCAGACAAGGGCATTATGAAAAACGGAACAAGACTTGGCCCACATGCCACAAACGTCGGAGCATATGGACATTTTTATTTTATTTTGGACTTTACTACATCCATCAGTTTCTACTCTTTGAACACCCTACAAAGAGGAAAAGAAAAATCATGATGTTAGAACTAGCTAGGCTTACAATTTTTCTTCTAAAAACGCTCGAATCATATACAATAAAAGAGGACTTATGATTATATATAAAGAATCATAGATACGTGCAAAGACCCAAAGAATTACTCCAGTTCGACTTACCTTGGATTACCCACTTTTTCCAGAGTTATGCTACATGTACAAAGTTATGTTACAAATTTAATTGATAAAATAACATCTATACCAATAATTTTAAAAACAGATTTTTAAATCATTTGAAATCAACGGTATGAATTTTGTCAACACACTTTGTAACCCAACTTTTGTAACTCAACTTCAAATTACAGCTTTAATCCAAATCAATTATAACATAATTTAACAACAGATATACACGAGAAGAAAATTATCCTTCATCCAAATTATATATGTCCTATTCACAACTAAAGTCCTCTTAAGTTGCAACTTTTGAAGCACAAATCCTAACACACGACTGAATATCGAAGCTAAAATTACATAGTTTAAGTTGCTCTCATGTCATTAGCTGTGATTATGAAAATCATTTGTGCTTTCTTTTCCTCTTACTGCTAAGTTGTTTGACAATCATTATTTGAGAACTTTTTTTTCTACATACCAATTTTCAATTACATATTTACACAATAAAATATTATACACGTAAATTCAAAATATTTCTCTACTTTTTAATCACACATTCTCGTAAAAATCATTATTCAAATCATCATTTTTCCAAATAATGATCATCAAACAATGGCTGAATTAATCATGGATAGATCATCTAGGGTGACAAGCAAGGACAATAGACTACTTCCTATTTTCTCTTTTGCTCTGAATATTGAATTCGTTTGACAGACAAATGTGAAAATGAATTCTAATTCCACGTCGATGGAAAATAAAAATCCACCAAACCCGTATGAATTCGTTTTCTAAGAAAATAAAGAAAATGCAATTTAAAGTGGTTGTATTTTAGAATTCGATTTCCATTTTCATGTTGCAATCAAACGGTCAAAGTGAAATTTGTTTTCTTCGAATATGACATTTTCCATGAAATTCGTTGCAATCAAATAGGACCACAGTGTATTATAATGTTGTCTATTAGCACGACCCACATCAGTCCATAGGAGGAGAAATGTGGCACAAAAAAAAAATAGTAATTTTTACTATTTTACTTGATATTTTTTCTTTTTAAATTCTTGCATATTGACCATATAGTCCAATTCCTAGGCAATAAACTATTTGGCTCATTTTACTTATAAATTTTTTGGAGGGTACTTGATTAAAAAGTGAGGAAGGAAAAATTACGAATTCAATATAATGTGTGATTGAAATTGATTTTGGGAAAAAAATAATGCTAGAAAAATCTCTTTCAAACGACTTAAGTTTTAAAATAAATAATTTTGTCAACTAATGAAAAAATGAATTACTATTTTTATTTTAAAGCTTTGGCGAATTCCAATTGAACCAATCCTACATGTCTTTCCAAACACTGCCATGTTGTTTGGGCAAAACCCTTATTAGCCGCCACCCACAAACTAGAAAACGTCGAAGAAGGGAATATCCAGGAATCAATCTCTCCACTCTCAACTCAATAGGAGTCTCGGGGACTACCAAATTTTCTCTTAAAATTCCTCTTAACTGTTCATCAAATTCGTCCACTCCATTTTCTCAGCGAAGAATGGCGGTCACTTTCTCGTCGGACGACATTGTGATAAAGTCGCCGACCGATAGGCGACTGTATAGATACATACAACTTCCTAATGGTTTGTCTGCTCTGTTGGTTCACGATCCAGAGATTTACTCGGACGGAACCATGGAAGCTTCGAGAAATAGCGAAGACGAGGATGAAGAAGAAGAGGATTTCGAAGATGAAGATGAAGATGAAGATGAAGACGATGACGAAGAAGATGAAGATGAAGATGAAGAGGAAAATGGGATGAAAGGCTCGGCTGAGAAGAAGGTCAGTTTTGCTAGTTGGATGTACAAAATCTGGATAGTTTTTTTTTTTCCTGAATTTATTGTTAGTTATTTTACTTGTTTTTTTGGAAGTTGTGGAAAGTGAGGTTGTTGAGTAATTGAGATTGGTATCTTTAGCTTTTGGTTGATTTTCTCAGGCAGCGGCAGCAATGTGTGTCAGAATGGGAAGTTTTTCGGATCCACACGATGCACAAGGCCTAGCACATTTTTTAGGTTTCTTCCTTGACTTTGCTTATGTTTTTATAGTTTGTGCATTACAAGTCAAATAGTTATTCATTTTTTGAACAAATTGTAGACAAGAAAAAAAATTAGATAAATTAGAAGAGTAGGAAAAAAAGAGTAAACATCTTGCAATCACATGATAAGAATTTTTAGCTACTGTTAATTACATCCATCTGATAAAAAACACTATAGAAACAGGACATTGACGCTTTAAAGGTAAGGACATGGATACTTCGATTTGAAATACTTCAAAATTATACATCTATAGTTATCTTTATTTTATTCATTTTATTTTTTAATAAATTTCTCTTTTTAGCTTTCGTATTAATCTCTGCAGGCACATATTTTGATTGCAAGGGATGGCTATGTGCTGTATTAGGGTAATTTTAGGTCATACTTTATATTTCTAGGGCCAACTAAAAAAAACTAAGCCTTTTCCCAAACGCTATTAAGTGTGCAAATGACATAAAATTTTAATGCATTAACTATTAACGAATACATACGGTATTTATTAAATAAAACACATTAAACACAATGTTTGTAAATTCTTTCTCGAATTAGTGATTTTCTACCCTAATTATTTGATAATTAAATATTCTCTCATTTCAGATTCCAGATTTTACAAATTGGATCTTGCTAGGTTCTCAGTCTATTAGTGCCATTCCTAACACTTCAGCAACAAGGGGAAAGTGATTGAAATTAAGGCTACTAGAAAATTCATTAAATACTACATTGATTTATCCCATTGAACTAACTTGGTACTTTAGTTCATTTCAGAGGTATTCTAATAAGTGTTGATGGAATAGTTTTACCAAAAGTAGTTAATAAATATCTGCAATTCCTTTGTAGAAGGCTGAATTTTTGTCAAAATAAGAACAAAAGGTGTAGTACTAACAATTGACAACCGCGGTGCTCTCAATTCATGTGTCATATTTCGTAAATTGGAGAACAATGGTTTGATGACTGATTAGTAACAAATGTAAGAATGAATAGCCAACTTCTTTTTCCTTGTGTCCAAATATAGAGAAGATTGTTTTATTACCTTTGTACATTCATACCTTGTAATCGAACTTGATAAAGTTAATATTGTACGCAATATAATGTACAGGCTCTTGACTCTTAACACTATAATTTGAAAGACATCAAAGGAGTTTCATCCCTCCAAGATCAAATTGAAGAACAATCCTTCCTTCTGTTTATTTTTATCAGACTAAAACAAAAATGTCATTTTGGAGAGTTTGGAGTTTTCACCATCTGCCTTCAGAAATGATCTCTTTGTTTGCTTCGTTGTTAATCTAATATTAATTTAGTCAAATAACACATGCATGCATAATTTAGTCTCTCTCTCTCTCACATGCGTGTCCTATATTATTTGTTGCCATATAATAGAAGAAGAGTATGATATTCAGTTAGCTCAGGCTTTTAGCCCAAAGCTTATATCTATTTTCATGTCAAACTTGTGGGCTCACTTTTAAGAATAAAAAAATTGTATAATTTCAATCCTTGAGGAAAAAAGCTTGAAGTAGTTTGACTTTGAGCCAAGTATGGGAGGAGGAAAGATCGACTATGTTGGCTTAATTGATATCCCTACTGCAGTGCTGAACTCTATGAAAGCTGGCTTCTTTTTTGGCCATTTCGAATATGAAAAAGGTTATTGAAGTCTTTGTGGTAGAACTGGTTGATTTAGAGGTATTTTCTACTATAATATGGTATAATCTGCCCGTCTCTCACTAACTCGTTCTTTGTAATAATAGTCTGGTCAAGATGATATAAAAGTACAGATAATGTGAATATGAGGATAACACTGTATTTGTTTGCGGGAAGGAGAAAATATGGTAGAGTTTTAGCATATTTTGCATTATACTTCAAACACAACTTACTTTGCAAGTTCATCGCAGAGCACATGCTTTTCATGGGGAGCACTGAATTTCCGGATGAAAATGAGGTGTGTTGGCTTATCCTGTTCCTTATGCCTGGTTTTACATTTTTACTTAAGTGTGCGTGTCACTTTGCATTGACTGAACACCAAAAAATTCCTAAAATGGATAAAAAACAGAAATTTTCTATTTTTGCTAGAAGTGATGCAAAGTCAAATATCATGATCTCTTCTTATTTTGAAGTTTGTTTGATCTGTAACTCGTGTCGTAAACTGTAATGTAAAATCTTCCATGATGTAATCAAGATAGCTATTTGGCCTGCAAGATTGACTCTTCTCTTTGCTAGTATGACAGTTACTTGTCTAAGCATGGAGGCTCATCAAATGCATATACAGAAACTGAGCACACATGCTACCATTTTGAAGTGAAAAAAGAGTTTCTTAAGGGTGCGTTGATAAGGTAAAGGCAAATTTATGGACTTTGTAGTATTAGAAGGGAATTTGCCCATCCATGCACTTTTTCACATGTATTCATGAAACAAGCCACAAAATATGCTGTTATACACATAATGATAATCATGTGCACCTATGGATGTATATAAGATGATGAACTGTGTTTGATCGTGTTTCCAATTTTACTTTTCCTTGAATCAGGATAACATTTCGGACAAAACGATTGTACCAATTAATTTATTTATTAATCCTTTTCTCTTATTTTCTTGTAGTTTTGTCTATTAGATTTAGTGAAACGCATAATAGCCTTGAAAATGAGGCCTGTGCTTCTCATAGTAATGAAGCGGATTCTTTTTTTTTTTATTTGTCCTAAGCTTATGTGTTCACAATCAATTTCTTTTTGTTGCGTTGACTATCTTATTTTCGACAAATTCCTTTCTATCTTCCAAGTTAATACTTCGTAACTATCTTTCTACCTTTCTCGTGCTTTATTGGACAGAATTTCGTTTTAGATTTTGTATTATGATCTTCTTCTTTACATTCTATTGTGCCATAGTCTGTTATTTGTCAATTAGCTTTCATTCCAATAATCATCACAACTGCATAATGACACATATTACGTGGAATTTTTAATATATTATTATTTTTATTTAGTTCTTCCACTGGTTTCTTTTGAGTCCATGCATTGCTCATTTGCTCTCATCTATGGTGCAATGATTTAAGTCTCTCCCTCTCTCAATGTGCCAGACATAGTGTTTTATAATATTGAAATTTGTTCCTGCTCTTCATGGATTTTATCCTTAAAAATTCCACGAAATTGTTGTTAGGTAGCTTGTGGGCTTTTAGTTCTGTCTATGGTTTTCAGAAATTTCAAAATTTCTGTATGTGTTTTTTGAAAAAAACTTAAACAGCTCAAAGCACATAGCATTCTTACGCTCTTTCACAAGGAATGGAGAAAGATGGAAACAAAACTCAATATCATTTGGAAGTCTTCTTTATTATCACGTGAATGTGTCCTTTCTCCTTTCTATCTATTTTTCCTATAAGCCTGCTTTTATAGTTGCAGCATTTTCTGTTAATTAGTATTATCTCGATGTTTTTGAGTTTTTTTTTTTTGTATCGTTATAAATTTTCCTCACACTTTGATGGAAGATGAATTATCCTGCGCACAGCCGAGTCACACCTAAAGGCATACAGAAGAAAATTGATTCTTTTTCATTTGATTTAATGAACCTTATGACAAGTTCAACTGAGGCTGGTGGTTTGAGACTATGTTAACCTAGAAGTTTTATGATCTAAAAGCCAAAGTTGAATCCAGGAGTAAGACATGCTCTCAGTATAGATTAGATTGATTGTTCAAGATTTTGATTTTAGGCTGCATTTCTTAGCATTGTAAAGATTCAAAATCCATATGTTCTGTTTCCATATGGTACCGAAGTCTTAGTTTTAAAGCAGTTTTGTTTATTTATTCTTTACTGTATTAATGTTGATCCATACGATACCAAAGTCTTACTGTTTTCATGTTTCAGATTTGCTCAATTTTTCATTTCTCCTTTGATGAAAGCTGAAGCCATGGAAAGGGAGGTATTAGCTGTGGATTCAGGTTTCTTATCTTTTCTGTCTCAATGGTCTCAGAAATTTACTCTGAATAGATTGTTAATTTCTATTGTTGCTGACTTGAAGCTGAATTTTCTATTAACATATTACAATATGGGTCAGAATTTAATCAGGTTTTACAAAATGATTCCTGTCGTCTGCAACAGTTGCAGTGCTATACATCTGCCCCTGGTCATCCTTTCAACCGATTCTTTTGGGGTATGTTTCACACGATCATTATTAGTTTATTTTTTGTCCCGAGTCCATAATTGGTGCTACATCATTATTTGTGAGGTTTTCACTCGACTTCTTGTAGGGAATAAGAAGAGCCTGGTTGATGCTATGGAGAAGGGAGTTAATTTACGGGAGCATATTGTGAAATTATACAATGATAATTATCATGGTGAATTGATGAAGTTAGTTGTCATTGGAGGAGGTAAGTTTTTCATTCCTACAATAGTAAGAAATTGGATTGACGTGAAAGGTTTTTGGTTGGCCATATTAATATAGTTGAAATTTGTTATATTAATTTAATGCATTTTTTTTTTCCTTTCGAAATAAAATTGCGTAGTTTGGTAGAATGTAGTTACCTGAAGATTCAACTTCACAACTCAACCTTGTGACTTCCCTCTTCATTCCTTCAGCGAGCTATACTGAAGGCAATATAATTTTAAGCAAGCTTTGGGAAATATCTTAAATGATGATCAATTATGTATATGTGAATAATAAGCAAGTCAACTCTACCTGTCAAAATCATATCCCACAATTATATGGGTTTTAAGTATCCTTTCCTTCCTCTGCACTCTATTAGTTTACTGTCTTTCTCAAAGTTAACCCATGAAGGCTCAGTACTCCAATGGATGCTATCTCAATTAATTCATGTACTTTCACATTCTTTGTGGTCCCCTAAACTCATTTCCTTCCCCTCCCCGACCCTCTTTTTCCAGCTAAGTAGCTTAATACCTCTCGGCATCTATTTTCCGTTAAAGCATAACAGATCAAGAGAGAATACAGTTGGGGAAATGTTTTAAACAACCCTGAGAATTGACACTTGTTTGTATTAATCAACGTGGCATGGTTATAGTTGTATCCTTCAACACTTCACATCAAGTTGGACCACATTCTTCTTAATCCACCGTCTCATGTTATTTGACACTTCCTATTTTAGGAACTCATGCAAAGAACCCACTTGAGAGGTCTGAATATCAGTATCGTTTAGAAATTTATCCAACTGTCCATTTAATAGAAATCATTTTAAATGCACTTGATTTAGAGTAGAGGGCAGATTCAAAAAGGGGAAAAATAATAGTTGTAGAATAGATAAGAGAACAAGTGAAGAACGTGTGTGCTAACCTCATACAGTTGAAACTTGATAAACCCCTCTCCCAAATTAGTCAAAAACCTTTTAGCGGCAATGAGTGGGGAAAGGGGACCTACTGCACAATATATTTTTTTCTCTCTTTTGTATATATATCTTAGTGTAGTCTGTGTTTATTATTTTCTTCCCAAGAATACTTTTCTTTTAAGTCAAAGCAAGAGAATTCTTGAATAGTTGGTAAGTTGTTTCATTTGTTTAGTAGTTAATAATCTACTATGTTGATCCATATTAAGTTTCTAATCACTCCAATAGTATCATCAATTTATATGAATGCATTTCCATACTATTCCATTACAAGTATTAAGTAGGTGAAAATAATATTAAAACTTTGTTGAATAAAAATGACTCCCTTTGGTATTCTTTGTGCATTCTTACATGAACCGATACATCCATTTCTATTTTCTACTTGAATCAATTTTTGGTATAGCTTTTGACTGGGGCACCTAAAAAAGACTCACATTTGGCTCATTCTTTGTGAGAAAGCGTCCCAAAGAGAGCTTACCTATAATGAGTAAAGGTACCCTTTCAATGAGTTGTACTTTGGGTCCTAACCTAATAGGGTAGAGATATTCTCTCCATCCTTATTTCTGGAGCTTCTGGAGAGCTCTAACTCGAAAAAGAAAAAACCCAGCTGCATGCGTAATCAGGCGATGGTTGAAATTGGGGTTGCCTTCCCAATGTTATGTGGAGGTAGACAGTCCACTGGCTGTGAACTTGTTTCCTGGAAAAGAAGCAAAGATGGTATTTGGGAATAAGTAAAAGCTAGCTCCATGCTAGCGTTGAAATGTTTTATCGTGGATGTTTTACATAGTTTACGGTTTATTATGAGTATAATTCCGTATTTCTAAAAATTTTCAATTATTTTATTGGTTCACGTTGGGGCTTACACCTTAAAGCCTGTCAAGGGCAAAACACTGGCTACTAACAGGATAGTATTTATATTCAAAATTACAGGGGAGCATTCCCTATCATTATTCTTGACAAGTTTAGTGTAGAAGGAATCTGTGTGCTCTTTATGCGATTTTTTTATCTGGCATACATGATGAGATGGAAAAAGAAACAGAAGTCTGATTGCGTTGTCATTCTTTCTTGTTATCTTAACTGTTGAACTTCTGATATCTCCAGAGACTCTTGATGTCCTAGAAAGTTGGGTCCATGAATTGTTTGGCAGCATCAAAAAAGGCTCTGTGGTTATGCCAGAGACATGTTTAGACGTTCCTATTTGGAAAGCTGGCAAACTTTACCGGTTAGAGGCAGTTAAAGACGTTCATGTACTTGATCTGTCATGGACATTACCTTCTCTGCGAAAAGATTATCTAAAGAAGGCTGAAGATTACCTTGCTCATCTCCTTGGACATGGTAATATGGTTTTCTGTTAGTATAAGTTCTTTTATTTGGTAGTCATTTCTCTCTTTTAGGAAATGACAGAACGTTTCACATTGGAAGAGGTGGAAATTTATTACATGTTTCTGAATCTGTTATTGGTGTATTTTTATTAGTTTCACTTGCCTTGTGGCTTTGCTTTCCTCTATTTTCCACCTACGCTTCTTGATTTGGAATCTGTTGAAAAATGTGATAGATTTGGGGCAAAATGTCATTTTGTTCAATCGTCACTGTTGACCTTTTATTTTGTTTTTCCTTTTCAATATTTTTTCAAAGGGATTAAAAACAATTTGTACATAAAAACAGATTTCTACTTTTCTGTGCATTTCAGTCACTTACTAGAATTATGAAATAGAATCCATGTTTCTACATCTTCTTCTCCTCTTATCATGCTTAGCCTCCTATTTTTGCTTGCCATTTTCAGTCTTGTCAAATATTTAAGTTCCTTTATTCACAGGAGCAGGTTTCTTGTTTATGTTTCTCCAGAATGAATTAAATATAAAATTCTGACTCTAGCCATATCAGTCTAGAAAGGTCAATGAAATTTCACGGGCTTTTAATTTTATTGTCAATTGTATCGGAGTGGGATCAGCTATATATGTCGTGAGGAACTTGTTTTGGAGTTCGTACTCATGTGAAAATCAATGGAGATAAGAATTAAACTCGACAGATTGATCCCAAAGTTCCTATCATAGGTAAAGTGCTTCTGAGGGTCCTGTGCCTGCATGTTGATGCTCTAAATATTTGTCGTAGAAAACATAAGGACTTTGTTAAGTTTATTACCTGGCAGCTGATGAAATCGTATCACGTCTCATCTAGAAAAAAGTATATTTATCGAGAAAGTATCTTGTGCCTTTAATTTTGTTTACACTTGTCAGTTAGGCTTTCTTCTCATTTTACTCCGATTGAACTAAAATCATCATTCAACACATAGTTACCGCAGTCGAATACAATCTACAGTAAAATTCACATTATAGAGAATTGGAGAGATTCGGATGGGAGAGGATTTATTAAAGTTTCTGTTAATGCAATCTAAGTTAAAAACACTCATTATAGAGAACTGGAGAGATCCAGGGTTAAGAAGGTTTTAATATCTCGTTTCTATTTTAATTTATAATTCTTTAGATTTGGAGCAGATCCCCATTGAAGTTGTCTTATTTTGTCCTTGTACTCTATTATAATTGATAATTCTTTAGCATTTATTTGTGCTACCTTTCAAATGAAATGACCTTGCTGTGGATGGCACAGAGTAGGTGAGCTGAGCAGCATTTAAATATGATCTTTTCCAATACAGACATGCTACATGAAGTTGAACACTTGCCGTCTTGGCCCATTGACCACACATTGCATGTTAAGATCATACTATTTATTGGTTTAAGGGTCATACTGGAATAAAGCAATTCAAAAAGAGTTGATCTTAGGAAAGTAGAAAGTTTTGTAGAGATGCTTCGAAAAGGATAGTTGAACAGTAGTCTGGGCGTGTGGGGGCAGTATGATTTCATTTGTTGCAGCTTAAAGCTGTTCTGCTAACACATGCACATGATATTTCTAATCATATTAGCATAGCTGGTATACATATGCCTATGGGCAACACTACAAGTATTGAAGGGAAAATAATATGATTTCAGAGGGCAAAGGAAGCTTGCTTTTTTTCCTCAAAGCTAAAGGCTGGGCATCTTCCATATCTGCTGGTGTTGGTGATGAAGGGATGCATCGCTCTTCAATAGCTTATATTTTTGGAATGTCTATACACCTCACTGACTCTGGCTTGGAGAAGGTAATTCTTTTCCTATTTTGAAAGTTCAGGAAAAATCTATATCACTTGCTAGTTAGCTCTTTTAATAATCTAGTTACTTGCATGGTAATTCCTTTGCATGGACGTTAAGAATGGCTGCAATTCATGACTAGATTTTAAATCTTACTTCATCCGTTCATGATTTAATAATCTTATTTATTTCTTTTGCATGTCCACGAATAATTACTCTGTCAAAAAACTTGGCATTTTGTTTCCATGAATACCCTTGTTTTAAAGAACTTGCTATGATTGCTCTGAATTCTTAGCAATTGGTTGCATCGAACTTCCACCTATTCAACTCTCACATGAAACTGCATGACAATTCAAACCAAGTCGTGCAAATGGAGTAATAGTTAATTTGAAGTTGGGTCATTTGGAAATTGGAATCAATAATGCAAGAAATAAATTTGATCAAGTTGCCAAATGGAAAGAATAGATTCCAATTTGAAAATTTAAAATGTGATTAGATATGTATTACATCCATTTGGACATGGATGTGGTTTCATGTTTTAAATTTTAGATCTGGCCCATAGATGGTTTTGGCATCAGATCGATCTACTTCATTGCCTACACATGAACATATTCATTGTAGTATGTTTGATTTTGTTTTATTCTAATAGCAAGCAGAGTTTATTACTATTTCCTGTATGTCTCTCTTTGCAAACTAATCAGCTGAATATGCTACTGATGATGCAGATATTTGATATCATTGGATTTGTCTATCAATATCTCAAATTACTTCGCCTACTTTCTCCTCAACAATGGATTTTTAACGAACTCCAAGATATTGGGAATATGGAATTTGGATTTGCGGAGGAGCAACCTCAGGATGATTATGCTGCAGAACTTTCTGGTATTTTTTTTTTGTTAATGTCTTTCAGCTGTTTTCATGTCGAATTTTGGTCTTACACTGTCTTTGCTTGTATTAACTTGTCCATATTTATTGACAAATACTTGTCATTGCAGAAAATCTCCTTGTTTATCCGCCAGAGCATGTTATATATGGTGAATACGCATACAAAATCTGGGATGAGGATATGATAAAAAATATTTTGGATTTCTTCAAGCCTGGAAACATGAGAATTGACGTAGTTACGAAGTCTATTAACAAGTCGCTTAGTAAGTTTTTCTTACACCAGTTCTCATTCCTTGCTATTCTCTGTAATATTTTGTTCGTGTGCTTCACTTTCAAATATAAACTTCTAATGAACAAATATTTGATGAAAATCTTGCCCTTGTTTGAGCCCCATTTTTGGGCCAAAATGCATTTTGGAATAGTATGTTATTGGAGAATGTGTGCTTAGAAATTTTGGGTTTACTTGTAAAATTCTTTTATAGGAGAATGTGTGGTTGAAAATGAGTTTTGGAAAAATGAGTTTTTGAAAAAATAGGGACCAAACATAGGCCTTATTAAATATGGTAAATTCCTCTATAGAGATGGCAAAATATTTTGATTACCTATAAAAAAAAAAAGAGATGGCAAAATAATTGTATTTGGTTATCTTTCAATACATGTATGCCGAACATCCTCAGGTCAAATTCATCCAAAAGGAATAAGGCGAATCAAGCTTCTTTTGGTGGAAAGGTTGAGAAGTATGGAGACCTAATTTCTTTACCAAATTGTAGTTCTTCAATGAACATAACCTTGTTGAGTACTAAAGCTGCTTCATTGTATATTCAAATTGATTTGCTTGTCAAACCACAAATCTTCTGAAGAAATGACACCATGCGACTATAAGAGTAAGGCATCTTAAGTGAACAACTAACAAGCTGGCTTAATAATGGTTCTGGACAAAATTATGATTTTGGGCTCCTTCTGACGCATGACCTACAGGCCAAAGAACAGTCTCAGATAGTAAGCTCCTTGGTTCGTTAATTAGAAGGCCTTACTGCAATTGCAGAGTGGTGGATTCGTAAATTCTCTGCAGCAATTAAGCCCCAGTTATTTCAAAGAAGAGTTTTTTTATGGAGAAAAAAGTTCTGTAAAGAAGTTACACAACCCTTCCTGTCAGGGTTTGATTGAGATCAATACTCAATCAGGTTTAGAACGCACAAAACCTCAACCTAGAAAGCTAAGAAAATAATGTCATTCCACTGTAAAATATCTTTTACTGTATAATGGCTTTTTTAAGAGCTCGAAAATCCTTGTTACCACTAATGCTAGTGCGAATAGAACATGGCATAAATTGCAGCCCAAGAGAACTCCTAAAACTTTTAGGAAATGACTGACACGTGCTAATTACTCTAGGATTTAGGCAACTATAAACAGCAATAAGTTGAAAATTCTGAAAACATCTGGCTAATTATAGAAAAATTGAACGAAACCTTCGGAATGAGATGAATTTATTCCTTAAAAAACTTATCATGGGGCATTCTTCTGCTTCATCTAGTTTGTGTGCAAGCATATTCAACTAGTATGTGTTCATCGCTGTTTGGCTTTTTTTTTTCCCTTGTCAATCGTGAAAATATGCACGTTCTTACTGAAAAAATAGCAATAATTTTTGCGGTTGGTGAAAAAAGTTGCAAAGGTTAACCCTAAATACTATGCTGAAAGAAATTAGTGGTTAATGGACTGGTAATAGCAAAGTGTCTTGTGAACCTGGTTTTCTTAATGTCTAATTATATAGAACTAATATTAGTTCGCAAAAGTAACTTGCTATGTAATTGTAATCTTATTAAATTGATCGACCTATTAGTTGAATTAGCCATGATGATTCCAACCAGCAGAATATTAAACTTAGTGGTTGATGACCATATTTTAGTTCCTTTGCTCAATTCAGACTGAATTAGCTGGTTATCTTGCTGCTCTATTTGGCCAGGTCTATCGATGAGAAACATGGTCAAGTCATCTGTGTCGCTACTCATAATTAGAGTTTCAAAATTGCCATGTTATTTTCTTTCTGGTTTTCGAATCACGATCTACTTTTTGTCTATTAATGTAAATAGTTCAATACAAAATTGACCTCCAATTCTCCTTTTTGGCATGGTTCCAGATGTTCAACTCGAGCCATGGTTTGGATCAGAATATGTTGAGGAAGACATTCCATCTGCTCTGATGCAATTATGGCAGGATCCTCCCACGATCGATTCCTCTTTACATTTGCCATCAAAGAATAACTTCATTCCACGTGATTTTTCCATACGTGCTGACAAGGTGTCCTCTCAGTTTGCTGATTTATCATCCCCAAGATGTATACTTGATGAACCTATGACGAAGTTATGGTACAAGCTTGACAAGACTTTTAAACTTCCTCGTGCTAATACATATTTCCGCATTACATTAAACGGAGGATATGTTAGCTTGAGGAATGCTTTGTTGACTGAATTATTTATACTACTGCTGAAAGATGAGCTTAACGAAATTATTTATCAGGTTGCTCTCTCTCTTGTGTTTCGTGCTTTTATTGAATTTCATCTGTACTTTTGGCTGATTCCAGTGAATCTGTAAATGTTTATTTGCATATGACATGACCTAATTATTTTGATGACAGGCCAGTGTGGCTAAACTAGAAAGTTCTATTTCTCTATATGGTGACAAGTTAGAGCTAAAGGTTTATGGTTTCAGTGATAAGCTCCCAGTCCTCTTGTCAAAAGTTTTGGCAGTTGCTAAATCATTTCTGCCAAAGGATGATCGCTTCATGGTATGTAAAAGTTGTTACTTCATCCTTGTTTTGAAGCCCTGATAGGTTTCGTTTTTCTTCTTAATTTAATTGATCGGTGATTTCATTTGGCTTTGCACGTTTAGCAGTAGTGATATAGCAAGCTAAGAATTAAGTCTTGGATCTTTTCCGCAAAATTGGCACTCTGCAATTCAGTAACCAATAATGATATTTTACACAAGTCTTTATGAAAAGAATGATAAACTTTTACAGCAACGCTTCTACTTGATTCTCATTATCATCTGCAGATTTTCTGTGGTAAGTTGTCCTTTTTAGATTTGTTTCATGCACTGATGATCAGTTTTTGATAGGTTATCAAAGAAGATTTAGAGAGAACTTTAAAGAACACAAACATGAAGCCGCTAAATCATTCTTCCTACTTAAGACTGCAAGTATTGTGTCAGAGCTTTTGGGATGTAGAGGAGAAGTTGCACCTGTTAAGTAACTTGTCTCTTGCTGATTTAACGACTTTTATTCCAGATCTTCTTTCCCAGGTTTGAAACTAGTCTTTACATGTTATGCTATCAAATTACTGCCTTAATGTACAACTTGTATTACTTGCCTCCTTGAAGCTTCTTTAGGAGCTTTTTTTTTTCTTTCCTCTTGCCTTGTTTTGTTGTGCTCATTGCCCTACAGTGCGTCGAATAGAAATTCCAATGTGCATGACTATACTACTAGCATCCTCTCTAGCATTTAACTTGATTTGGTCAAGAATTCTTTTGCTAAGCACATAAAAGAATTTAACACAATCATATCAAATACTAATGCTTCAATGGAAGGATGTGTTACTATGTTTATGGAAAATGGAGACAGATAAAATTTAGTTAATATTTACTTATTAGTTAAATCTATGGTAAGTTTACTAGTAGTAACTAGTGTTATTGGATCAGGATGTAGCAAAAGACTAAAATTGGAACATTTACTATTCGTTGGAAATTCCACTATCAGTGCTATGATTTATATACATATTTTTAACAAGAAAAAATTGGATAACTTGTCGAAGTATTTCAAATTTTGTACCTTTTTATTAGCGAAGTGCAAAAAATATAAACATTGAAAATAAGTCTCTACAACTATTTTCCATTGATAGAATTTAATTGACCATGGGCTATAACAAAAGCAATCTTTCATTCCACTCTACTCAAAAGTTAAAGCAACAAGGTGATAATCAATTCCGATCTAACCTGCATAAATCCAGTCAAAGATAGACATCTCATGAATTGAACTAAAGAAATTTGAACATATATATCGAGAAAATCTCTTTATCAGGAGAAAATCGTTTTTTAACCTAAATTGCAAATCATGTTTTGGTTTGGTTTGGTTTAGGCGATTGAACGATTTTAGTTTAGATTTGGAATATTATCGAACCGTTGAAGCTATAATATAAAATTGTCTTGCCTGTAGGAGTTGCAAAAGTCTTGCCGAATCAAGCATGTCTAGACCAGATCTTTACCTAAACTATCCAAATTATGGTGATGACTCGGGAAATTAAGCGTCTGAAGTTTTCTTGGAGAGGAGAGTGGTCATAGCCATAACCTTCATATATATAAGTTCCACCATCATGGAATTCTAATGCGACTACTCCCATTCATCTCATCAAGATATGCTTCTAAACTGACGAATGATGAGGTACACCAAGCCCAATTGAAACTCTAGACATTATTAAGTTACAATCCAACTTGTTATTAGAAGTCCAATCAATGTTGACACAACACCAAATAATTCCAGAATATAATGTCAATGGCGAGTCACGAAAAATGGAGAAACATTTCAAATTTTAAAGACCATCTAATAACAAAAGCGAAGGTTTAGTGATATGATTTTAGAACACTATTTGTCTTAGTTGGGCATAGTTAACGGCATTGACCAACAGCATGATATTTTCCTTGGCATGTCAACAGTTCCTTTTTAACTGAATTCATCAGAATGATAGATGGTATCACGTTTGGAGGTTGAATGATCCTGGGGAAATTCTTAAAAGTTCAATGACGTAGTAACACAAGAAAAGTTTAGTGACCAATGATATAATTATCCTTTAAATAGGCGGATTGTATTTGTTTATTCTTAATACATCTAATTAGGGAAGACAGTAAAAGATGATAAATGCCAAACAATGGAAAAAAAGACGAGAGTACATGTTCTATTTTCTTTTATCTTGAATATTAGAAATAGCAACCCCCTTCCCCCAAAAAAAAACAATAAATAAATAAATAAAATAAAAATTGGTTGTTAATTTTTCTATTTTAATGTTATTAGAACTCTAATACTTTTCAAGACAAATGTTTCCCTTAAGGATCAATACCTAAATTTAACAGAGATAACACTACCTTTACCCTACTTTTTCCCTGGCCTTTATAACATTTATGCATAACGTGCTGGGTATTTATCGCAAAAGAGAATCCAATAGACCCTGCTTAGCCTATGAACAATGCATGCTGGCACGTAAGTTGAAGCAATATTTAATGCACTTTCTGTGTCTACAATGGTTGTTTTTCAATATTGACAGGGAGTTCTGGTTGAGGGTTGAAAAAATTGCTATTCAATTTAACGTTTCATTTTCACTATTGAAACTAATGCCAAGAATCTTGCCAGATACGTGTACTTTTAAGTAGGATATTTTTGGAAATTTACTAACATCTAGAAAGGAATAAGATCCTTGAAATGGATAGAGTGATTTAAAGGTATGTTAACACGAGATTTCTGTTTGCCAATAAACCTATGTCGTGTGGACTCTTCTGTTATAATTCAAGTTCCTTTACTGGACTTCTCATACTGGAACATTTTTTGGGTTTATAGATTTCTCATTTTAAACATAAACTATACATTGATGATGATTTGATACTTTGACAATAATGTGGTTCTGGTACTAGTATCTAAGTCCATACATAATGGAATAATACATGAATTTCAGGACTTCCCCATTCTTCTCAGGCAAGTTAAAAAGGGGGAACAATTGTGAATAGAGCAATTTTATGTTTTAGAAACTCTAATGCATTTCTTCTTTTTTTGACAAATCTGATGTTTATGACTTGATAATTCCTTCTAAACCTAGTTAAGTTAGAAATTTAAATCCCACCTGGAGATGAGAAACAAAACCTTTAAAGTAACTCCTTATGCAAGAATGCAGCTAATAAAATAACCTCAACCAATAGGGAAACATACTAAAGGGAAATATGTATTAAAATAGTAGAATATTCAATCATTTTTTTCCTCAGCATCGCTGCCATCCATTTTCATGCAGTTGTATATTGAGGGCCTGTGCCATGGGAATTTGCTGGAAGAGGAATCTCTATATGTTTCCAACATATTCAGAAGTAATTTCTCTGTGCAACCACTTCCTTTTGAGATGAGACACAAGGAATCTGTGCTGTGTCTTCCATCAAGTGCTGACCTAGTAAGAGATGTCAGGGTGAAAAATAAACTAGAAACAAACTCTGTTGTGGAGGTAATCTAAAAAGGCACTTACTATGGGCTTCTACGCTACTTGTTATTAGAAAGATGTTGCTAATGCTGTCTAGTCCTTTTTTATTTTTCTGTTTGCAGCTTTACTTTCAGATTGAACCAGAAAGAGGAATTGACTTGGTTAAATCGAAAGCATTGATTGACCTTTTTGACGAAATAGTGGAAGAACCGCTTTTCAATCAGCTCAGGTATAATTCAGTTCGAGTCTTGGAGCTAGAATATATTGGATCATAAGATGATGGTTGGATTTAAATACTGCTCCCCCTGTTAAGTAATGACTAATTCATGATTTCATTGATGTTAAAATAGGACAAAAGAGCAACTTGGCTATGTCGTTGACTGTAGCCCACGGGTGACATACCGCATATTAGGGTTCTGTTTCCGCGTTCAATCTTCTAAGTTCAATCCTGTGTACTTACAAGAGAGGATTGACAACTTCATAAACGGCCTAGAAGAGATGTTGGTAAGTATGATATCTTTCTTTCTAATGCATTTGGCCATGATAGTTCTCTATTCTTCACTAGCAGCAATCAGCATTTGGTTAGCTTGTGTCTTGTGGTTAGCATTAGAACTCTATACAAGGTCGCAATTTGTTGTAGTTTGAGGAATATTCTGCATTGAAATATTAAGTATTGAAGTTGATTCTGGACACTGACGATACTTAGCGATGTGATATACATTCGTTAAGTGGTTCTCTTGTATCCATCGATTTCTGACTTTGTAGAAGATTTATATTGAAACCCGTTTCGTCAACCCCTTGGGAAAAAGAAAGAAAGCAAAACAATCATAAGAAAACTGGAAAACCATTGATGGAAAAGAATGGCAAGGAACTGGTCTGTTAGTGTGTTTTGCATACATTGATTTTTTTTCCGTATATAGAGATCATACCTTAAATCTGCTCTGTGATGTGTTCTGTTTTTCTCTCATTTGTTATTTATGTTGATGAGTTGAACAGTACCTTTTTTCAAACGGTCAACTCTGTGTATATGATTCCTTGATGGAACTTTTTGGTTCTGCAGAATGGACTCGACGACGAAATGTTTGAGAATTACAAAAGCGGGTTAATGGGCAAGCTTCTTGAGAAAGATCCATCTCTTGTATATGAAACAAATCGTCTTTGGGGTCAAATAGTTGATAAAAGGTAAGAGTTATTTTGCATATTTTGTGTGTAAAGATAGAGAAGTGAAACTCTTTTGTGAACTTACAGGATAGCAGTTTGATGCAGGCGCGAATGAATCTTGAACCTTTTACCTTCAATTAAGTTTGGAAAATTTCCATACTCCTTGCAACCTGAATATACATATTGTTTTTAGTTTCAGTTACACCCATATGCAAGTTATTTTTTGGAAAATATGCATGTCCAATATGTGAAATCTAGTGGTGCTAGGACATACTCGATCTGGATTTGAGATGGGTTAGTGTTCACGACCTCCAAAATAAGTTTAGCTCACATCTATGTAATGCTTACAGTGAACGAAGTTCCCTTAATTTTGAATAATGGTAATAAATTGGTGTATAAATAATACCTAATAAACGAGAAGTATTACAATCACCTGCTTCGGTCTGACATCCAATTTTTTAACGTATTACTGTCTTGACCTTTGATGACCGTCTTTTAGGTATATGTTTGACATGTCCGAAAAGGAAGCAGAGGAGCTTAGGGGTATTCAAAAGACAGACATTATCAACTGGTACAACACTTACTTAAAGCAGCCGTCTCCGAAGTGCCGGAGGCTTGCAATCCGGGTGTGGGGTTGCAACACAGAATGGAAGAATGTGGATGCACAAACATCATCTGCAAAGGTTATCAAAGATGTTGAAGGTTTCAAGAAGAAGTCTGAGTTCTATCCAAGCCTTTGTTGAAACAAAAGTTATTGCTCTACTTCCTCATTTCAAAGTTGGGAAGTTTACCTCAAATTATAGGAAGATTATTTTATATGATATATACCATAAATTCAGAAAATTAAGAATAAATTGGGTGAAATTTATTACTGATAACAATGGTTGAAGAATCTCTCCGGACCTTTCATTCTTTCATAAGAGGAACATGGATAATAGCTTTCGTGTTAATCCAGTGAACTCATTTTTATCTCATGTTTATTGTCACCCGAATTTTGGATATATTCAAATGTTTTACTGTAGTACAATCTTAAGTTTTCGTCGCCAGGAGTAATTTCGTCATATCAACCAGGTCGCAATTGCTCGATAAATGTGACTATTTTATGTGGTGTCTATATTTTTCATTTTGTTTTCCATCTTTTCCGTTGAATACTGCTGGATAAGAGCTTTCTGCACTTGAATATAAATTTTTAAGTAATTATCGTATTCTTAAATCTTAAGCATCGTATAACTGACATGTAAATGCTAGCTTTTGATAAGAGTTTATGCTTTGCACCAGCCTTTTTATGTGCTTTTTTCTTGTAGTGCACAAAGCGTTCTACACACACCGCTTCTCATCAGCTTCGCATATTCTTCAATTTCGCGGTCGTTCACATGAATACCTTCCTCAACACGATAAGAAAACAGAACCAGTAGAAATATGTTAAAACATATTTATAATTATATATTTATCTAAATTAAAAGCTTCTTTTCAACTTTAAGTAAAAAAGTTCCAAATCATTGCCTATTTGATAGCATATAGAAAAACAATTATGCTACTTGTACAATGTAGGATGACATTGGCCTAATGACATCATGTCACGTGAAATCAATATTTTTCTTGTACAATGTTGGATGACATAGAAAAACAATTAACGCTACTTGTACACCAAGCATGGTTCACGGAAAAATAGCTAGTGGAATCTTGCATGATCTTGTGTATCTATTTTTCTTTTTGTGAATTGGTTGTTCTTAGGTGAAATGGAATTATGATCCGTTTGATTGGCAAATGTGAAAAGACTTTATAATTCTATGTAAGTTGGAAAATAAAAATTCAAGTACTTCACAGAATTGCATTTTTCATGAAATTGACAAAAAAAAAATAAGCTTAAAGTGGTTGTACATTGAAATTCAAATTTCATTTCCACTTTCGTATCAAACATCTAAAGTAAAAATTGAATTTTTCGAATTTAACATTTTTCATAGAATTTAAACCAATCAAATGGACCTTTAGAGTTTCTAATTCTTATCAATTCAACAGCACTGAAAAAGCAAAAATTGATGGTGTAAATTAAAAAAGTTCTGATAGAACCAACAAAATTGCATATTTCTCAATGAACAAATCCAATCAACTTGAAAAATAAAAAGAATTGTAGTACACATACGAGTTAGTCCACGTCTAGCTTTGTATTTTTCTTATTAACAAAGTAGTATATTTCATGATATAGATTTTGACAAGTTGTCGTACCACTATTTGACTAAAAAAAAGTTGATAGATAAACCACTTTTGTTTTCGACAGGCGCAGTATAAATTGACATGTTTTTCCTTATTTAAAACATACTAATATGTTTTCACAAATTGCTTGTCTATAGATTATTTAAAAGATGCTCTATACTTCATTTTCAAAGAAAAAAGTTTTAGCGTACTCAAAATGAGCTATCGTTTAACCTTCCATTGAAAAAATATAAAAAAAGGAATTCTTTGAAATCAACATCATTCCAACAAAGAGAATCCAAATAAATAATGTAGGGCTCTTCTTGTTTTTTCTTTTCTTGGAAAATTTTATTTCTCAATCATTGATGTAAGCCATGTTACCCATTCTTGTTTTTATTTAAAATTATTCGACTGCATTATTGTAAATACTACGTATACGTGAGCTTTTCAAGATTCACTTAAAAATATATTTTACTACGTAAATTATTATTCTCTTCATTTATGTTCAAATAATATTGTATCGATGTATTGATGTGCATTTGAATCCACATATTATGTGTGAAAGTAGGTCGGGGCATGGTTCGGGTTGGTTTGGTTTTGAGTTAAACCCATAACCGAAACTGACTAGTTGATTTGGATAAATTCCAAACAAACCAAACCGAATCAATCCAATCCTTGAAATCGGGGTCGGTCTGATTTGTTTAATCGGTTTGGACATTGGTGTAAGTTAAAAAAGATTACGTATCTATTTTCAGTAAAAAAATTTGTCTTTCAATACACATAAATATTTTTGCTTGCGTATCAATACTATATATAATATAAAGGTAGTGGGTTACTTTTTCCAACATTATCGCATATATCCGATAGTTACCAACAAACAATTATACCAAAATGAACAGTAATGATACAATCTAAATTTGGAATTTATAATAAACGCTTCTTCTTGCTTTCTTTTCTTTCGAAATTTGGAACTTTGGTAGAAAAAACGTAGACGGTAAATAAATTAATTAAGAAAGAATTATATTTGTGGGTTTTTTTTTTTTGGAAGTTTAAGAAGATGAAATTTAAAATGAAGAAAAAAATGTATATGCGGATTGAATCGGTTAATTGACAGGTTGGTTGCGGTTCCGACTTTATAATGATTAAAATTAGCCGAACCAAATCGATTTTTTGGTTCAAACCAATCCAAACCGACCCGACTCGGTTTGGTTCGATCGGTTTTTAAATTTTTTTGTCCACCCTAATTCAGCTCTAATTGAGTCATGTTTGAGAGCCATTAATCTCTTGTAATATATTATGGAATTGTAGATTAATGGAGAATGTGTCGTTAAAAGTAAGAAAATTTTATTGGTTTTCGTGTAAAATAAAATTTTAAAGGATAACAAAAATGGGCTGACTATATGACAAATTTTAGTCATGGCTAGGATTAGAGGAATTTATGTAAGTGTGACCCAACATCCAACAAAAACCAAACATATCAAATCTCATGTCTGGAGTTCCCATGCACAAGTCTCCAAAAGGGCCAAAACAGCTTATTTTAAAATAAGTATTTATTAGAAATCAGCTTAATATACCTACTCCAAGCCTAGTAGTTACATGACACGGGATTTTATTATAATCCAAGCTTTTTTGTAAAAAAAGTGAATTTTTTGCTTTCGGTGGAAAAGATTATACTCTCTGCTAAACAAAACAGTGCTGCTGATGCTATGCAAAGTTGGCGTCCAAAAGGCAATTTATATAATTTCTATTTTTGAAGAAAATAAATAAAATAATTTTTAATATATGTCGATATCGTAATTGTTGATAATTTTGGCAATCGAGTTGCTTCCCTTATTCTTCGTCTATGCGGGCTTGCAAAATGGACAGACGTCAAAGAATGTGCTTGATTGCTTCTTAGTCGATGCTTCAACAACTTTCGTACTTACAAACCATTTGGCTCGTGAACTTTTTCAGTAAATATGTAATAATTAGATTTTGAAATTGAATCACTTAATCTAAAAAAATAAAATAATTTATATATTTATATATTTTACAATAATTTCTCCTGCAATTCTCCTCATACAGAAGAATTGCTGCCAGAATTAATACAGACGGCGACACCTGTTTCGTTTGTCTGTTTTTTTATTTTGCCATTGTCCAACAGAAAACTGCCAAGTGTCGTTTGTATTAATTTTGACAGCATATTTTCTGTACAAATAGTAGCTCTCTAATTTCTCACTACATTTATAGATTTACATCTACAAGTCGGCAATTATTTATTTTTCATTTTCCATCTCTTTTAGAACTATTTAAAGAAAATCCTCAAATTTAAATCGCACGTGTCCTTGTCCAAGCAATCGTCAGTTTATGAGCAGGTTATATAAATCAACTAATTAAAATAATAATGATAAGCTTTCAACTTCAGTTAAATAAATAAATATATTTATTTAATTAATAGACTGAAGGCAACTTGTAGTTTTTCGCCACGTGTCGAGTAACCTACTAATCTTCTCCTGCTGCTGCATAAGATAATTCCACAATTTTCAGCAAATCACCGCCATTAACCAGACGAGATGCTCTCTTCTCCTTAGTTGATTGTTGATTATGTAATGTGCCGCCAAGTCATTGATTGGAGGATAAAAAACAATTTATTTCGACCAATGACAGGATGCCACGTGTAAATTATGTAATTCTCGATTTAGAAGGTGTTTGGTAGGGATTAAAATTAAATTTTTAATAGATTGTGATAGAAACTTTTGAAATGTGTGGTTGAAAAACCGTGGACCCATGAAAAATGTTGTTAATATTGATTGTTTAACTTTAACTTAGATTAAAATCTGATTTTAATTTGTACCAAACATACCCTTAATCCTTAATGTACAAATAGAATAATCAATTAATCTTCAACCCTTTTATGATTAGGTAGGTGAATGTATAATTATTTTATACGAAGTTCTACTCGTGCCGTAAAGGAAACGACAAAAATAAGGAATTACGCTCGTTTTCTAAAAGTGGAAATAAAAAGTCTCGTATCAACTAGATAGCAATTCTTTTATGTGTGCCCAAGATCCAAATGAAGGCATGGGCTCTATTAAATCATGATGGTAAAATATTCTTTGGTTGGCTCGCAAGACACTTGTATCAATGTAAGTCGATGGTCGTAATGTAGTGTTAGAGTTGGCGGATGATGAAGTTGTGATTTTTCTTATTTTTTGAAGAATCGAGGATAGATTACTGCTTGAATGAGAGTCGTTGGAACGTGTGGACAAAAAGTCCCACATCAGCTACGTAAAGGGATGTTTATATTTTAAAAGTAAATCGTAAAATTCTAATTGTTAACCTTTTAAAATAGAACTTTTAAATCTCCGATTCAAATGTACAAGTTGAGCTTTTAGACTTTCAACTAGAGCATACGGATATCCTTGAGTTCAAGCCTTGACCTTATCCCTTTACGAAGAATTGAACTCCACGTCAATCTTTCAAGTGAGTTGCACATGAGACGACGAGTTAGATGTATAAATTTAAATAAATTAATATATCCAAAAATATTTTTCATAAAGAAGACATAAAG